TTTAGAGAAGCTCAGGTAGGGCAAACAAACCTGCTGACAACCAAGCAAAACCTGTTTGCTATAAAGAACTGGAGCTCAGTAGGCTCCCACCTGGTGCACTGAAACAGACTTCAGGAAAATGGAGATTCTGATCAGAGGAAACCTTAAAAGAGGTTTCTGAAAGACAGACAGAGAAGTAAGCTGAGGATACAAGTTCTGTGGGCTAAAAACATATCTCTGGGCAGCCTTGAGTTTGTACTGCTGCTTTTCTCAGAGTAGCATTCAAAAGGGCTTCTCCTCCAAATGGGCACTACAAAACAAAACAAACAAAACAGCATGCTGCACTCAGAAGCTATCTCCTTAAGGGTGGGGGGTGGGGGGAAGGAAGGAAGGAACATAGGTCCCAGAAGAATTCAGAAACAAAAGGTGTTTTGTAGCAGACAGAGCTATTTATAAGCTTGGCTATGAAATAAAGCTTCTTTTTTATAGTAGCAAAAAAGAGAATGAGCTTGTTTTCACCCTCAACAACTTCCTCTCCACTCATTGTGCCAGATGCTGCCCAGTTGGATCCAACTGGTTATCACCTCCCTCTACACCATTCCTCCTTATTGCTGCAATCCACTATCAGCCACTCAAGATAACACCAGGGTATCTGGGAGCATAAACACAATAGGAGCATGAGATCCAAAAACCATTTCAAGAGAGCACAGAGACAGTAACCTAGCCCTGCCTTCCCCCCTTGCTGCACATCAGAGAGCAGCTCTTTCTGCTCTGTTGGTCTATCTAGCACAACAGATGTTCACATCCTCCCTGCTACAACCTTATTATCAACTCATTCCAAGAGGCTACTGGAGTCATGAAGAGTTTTCACCATGATTAATTCAGTGAATCTGGGAATTAGACCCCAGAAACACTTGAATTTCAGAAGTACATCAGCCCCCATGTTCAGATAGAATTATCTCCAACTATCTACTTCTCCTTGCAACATAAGAGAGCATATTGAGACTGTTCTTTTGAACTAGCAAAGGCAAACACATCTTCACCCAAAGAACAGCAGCTAAGGGACTTGTCCTGAAGATTAAACTAACACAGGTATCCAGCTTCCCATCAGCATCAGAAAGTCAGAGGCAAAAAACAAACCCCTGCTGTGTACCCACACCTTTCCAGCTCAAACAGTCAGGCCCAGAAGCAAGGCTCCAGATGTTCCCATACAGGACCGTCCAACTCACACAAAGTGCAGCTGGCAGAAATAACCCCAACATCCTGCCAGAACAGCCCAGGACTTCGTTACATAGTGCAAGGTCAGATCCCACCTACCTGGTTAATGAGTTCTCCAGGCACACTATTGCTCTGCAGTGTCATCTATCAACACCTTCTTGTACTGGCCATGGCCTGTTGCAACAAATTTATACTTTTTGCCAGAAGGAACAGACTGAAAAGGAGGGGAAAAAAGAGCCAAAGTCAGCATTTTTCTCCATTAAACAGACAGTCAAGATCAAATAACTGAAGCCAGATGAGTATTTGATACAGTCGTTTTTAATACCAGAAGTCTTGGAGACAGCCTACTCTGTACTCCCTTCTGGCCCCTTCCATACAAGTTCCTTGCACAGATCCATCATCACTTTCTATAAGCACAGGATAACACAGCAAACACAGGATGTGTAATAGGAAAGAGAAGATGCAATGTCAGGCATTGTGAGGGAAGACTCACCTAAGAGCCCAGACCCCCAAGTTAGGGTTGTTTTTACCCATGGCAAGAGTTGGTTCTATTTACCAGATACTGGCAGCTCCAACCCAGGAATTGACAAGATACTTTGATCTTCCTCTCCCAGCTTGGACAGTTTGAGGAGTTTCTCCTTGCTTCATTTTAAAAGATGTTTCTACAAACATTCCCACACAACCCCAGATCCATCTGCAAATGTTGATACTGCCTTAGGTTCAGTTCCACTTAGTTTTGCATGTTTTGTTTACTTGCAATACTAAAAAAATGTAACAAGAGCAAAGTAACTCACATTTGCAGTTCCATTGGAGCCTAGAAGGCTGAGATTCCCAGCTCACGGGCTGAGAACATGCTATTCAAGAGACCTTATAGCATTACTGGATATAAAACTAATTTTTGCCCCCATTTTCACTAGGGCTGAAGGAATAGTATTTCACTGCTAGGAAGAGCTCTTAGGCATGCAATTGCCTTGATAGGGACAGGTAGCTGTTGTCCCTGCAGAACATCACCATCTTCTCAATACTTCCAATCCAGACAAGTGCTCTTCTGTTTCTCAGCAGAAGAAGTGCTCTCATACTCACAGACACTAACTCACCTTGATGTTGCTCTCAGGTTTGGGGTTGCCCTTCTGTTCCCAAAGACTTCTTTTACTCACGATGTCTCCAGCCACGATATCCTGAGAAGATGATGTTCTCATTACCCTTCACTGCTAATGCTGTTGAACGTGCCTCTGTTCACATTCATTTCAAACCCACACATCCGACCTTCTTTTTTATTTATATCACATCATCTGACCTATAACAGCTGCAGCTAAAACCCATGATCTTGAAAACTTCTTCCTGTTCCCAGTATATATCCTATATTTTCCTCTCTCTAAGTCTCTTCAACAAGAGTCTGAATCAGTTCCATGAGGTTTGTTTTCTTAAGTTTGCTAACTATTTAGGATATGTTAGCAACAAGGCTTCTTTAAGTGTAAAAAATTTTGTTCACATATACACAGATTTGCAACCAATGAGTTATAGAATCAGCCTCAATCACAACAACCAGAAAGTGAAATCATCAAGAGCAATACATAATATTCTGTGCATTTTCCAAGTTTACAAGATTTATCCCTTTGGTGCTCAACACCTGGAGCTCAGTCCAAGCCCCTGCAGAAGACACATGCACTCTCCCCACCAGCCGATTTTATTCCCATTTCAGGTCGGAGCCTCAGCCAGCCTCACAGAGGCTTTCCTAGCTGCACCACCAAGGAACAACTGGGGACCCTAACACAGACAAGTTGAATCTCCGAGGTACAAGGCCCTGCAACCCGACAGAAGAGACTGAATCTCTTGGGAGCTGGTAGGCACTATGAACGAGCCACACCAAGAGGCTAACACGGGACAGTGCATATTGCACCCAGGGGCCAGTCCCTCATCTCCTCCACAAGCAAGGCAAATCCTCCAAGTGCCGTACCTTACAAGGAGAGGGCTTCGCAGCAGACTGCGACGTGACCTCCCCAGACTCCCAGAGGCTTTTTGTGCTGGCTACCATCATGCTCGTGGTAGGAAGATCAAGAGAGGGCTGCCGGACAGGTTTTGGAGCCTTTGCAGATGTCTGCAAAACAAATGGAGACACATCACCATCAAAAAGTGTGGGTTTGCCTTTTTTTTTTTTTTTTTGATAACCCTTGTAATTGAAGGTGCTCGGGGAGGAGGGGTTATAAAATGAGACTTGTAGAGTCTTACTAGTTCCTGTCAGAAACTTCCACACTTTTAGCAAGGAACATAAGGAAACAAGGATGGGACAGCTTGCTAAAAAAACCTGCTTTATGCTGTGGAGGGAAATACAGACAGAAACAAGCAACACTCCCACCCAAGAGGAGACAATTTAGTTGTCATCTCCCCGATGGTAAAGCTAAGAGGCACAGTAGGAGAACAACACCAGGAAAGGGGACTCCTTGGAGAGTGGGGATAGAGACAACATAGCAGCTCACCTCAATAGCTTGTGTGTACTGCTCCAGCCTGTCATCAATCTTGGACACAGGGAGGGGAGGTTGAGTCTTCTTTATGCTGTTACTGGAGAGCAGAGGAGAGAAAAGGATTAAGGTGTTCCCTCAGCTCTTCAAGCAGAAGGGAGGACTTCAAGGGCCACAGGCAGCCTGTTGCTCCTGCCCTTCCCCACAGCAGGACCTGCTGGCATCCTCCATTTGTAGGAAGTGACCTGATTTAACCTTAGGTCAACCCTAGAAATACCTTTTCTGTATTGAGCGGTTCAGCGACTCAGTTCTGTCCGTGATCTGAAGTGGGAGAAAAAAAAAGACAAATATATTACGTTTTTCTATGGACCCCAGATGAATGTGGTCACCCTAGCAGATCATTTTCTTTTCCCTGATCCCTCACCCATATTTTGGTTAGAAATGCCTCGCTCAGTCCCATGTTCCCATACTGCTGAGAGACAGCGAGCATTCCCTTTCCTCCTTCTTTCCACAGCAGGTGAGCAGAATTCCAACCAGTTTCAGGGGCAAACCAACAATGTGCAGCTTAACTGACAGCTTAAGCAACAACCAAGACCAGTTTCTCTACTCTCTCTGATCAAGGAGCAGGTTTCTCCCGGACACTTGGTTCCCTAGCCAGACACAACACGGAAAGTGGCAAGTGTGGAAAGACAAGGGGGAAAACTAGAGGCACTGCCAGCTACATCTACAGAAGAAAAGCCAAGCATGGGAGCAGCACAGGCATAAGTTAGATCAACTTAGACCAGGGAAGCACACACACAAGGCAAGTCAGCACATGGAGCCACCTGCAGGGCAGCTCTTCACGTCAAGCCATCAGGAAAGAGTTTTGCACCAGATGCTCCTGTGCAATAACTCTTTGGCCAAGACAGGAAGACAAGCAAGCACTTCACAACCACTGCAGGAAAGGAAAGCCCAAATGTTGCTAAACATCGCAACTTTTTCATGCCTCAGAAAACAAGAGAGAGAAATCACCTTGAAGTCAAAGGGGAGGCTTTCTTAACACCAGCTCCCACAGAGTCAAGGAGCAGCAACCAAGTAACAAGGAGCCTTCTCCCCCTGTAAAACTGCTGCCTGTGCCACAGGAAACATCACCTACCAAGTTAGCAGATAAAAAACAGCACTAAATGATCCTTTTAAGATGCTTTCAGGATATCAGTGCTAAATTCTAGCTAAACTGAAGACAAGACAGTGTCACATAGAGGACACATTTAGCAGCTGTGCCAAAGAGCACAAGGCCCATTAGAGAACAACTAAACAGTGCAACCCTGGGTAATAGAGATGACGTGGGGAGAGCCACTCTGCAGGGTCCCAATACAGCAGCATGACAGAAGCCCATCAGCCAGCTCTTTCTGCTAGGCAGGCTTGTCTGCCTGCTGCCATCTCACTCCTTTCCTTGGTGTTACAGGAAGTGATGCTTGCCTCTGAGCCATGACTTCAGAGACTGGGCTGACCATCCAGCTCATTGATGGGCAGGCTGCTACCTCATGGGGCACAACAGTAACCTGAAAGGGCAATCTGGCAGATCCCTACCCATGTCTCTGCTTCTCAACCACAAATACATACCAATAGCAAAAAGCCTTGAGACATGGTGTGCAGGTGCAAACCACCCACAGGTGCTTCTGAAAGGTTGTAAATGAGCATCAGGTTAAACAGAGGTTTTCTAGAGGGGATGAGAAAAAGCTAGAGATGACAGGATATCTCAGCATGACAGTCTAAGTAGGAACAAACTTTCATTATGCTATTTGGAGACCACCTCCCCCTACCCTGCACGGCAATTCCTTGCAGGAAGAGTTGTGTATTTCTCTGGTCCAAACCACTTTCTGAAGGCCAGAAGAAACCACAATTGTTTCTTCAGCTCTTTTCAAAACTCAGGGCTCGCAAACAGCCTAGGACAAAACAGGACTGGTACAAGGCTTCCCCCTTACCACTTATTTAGCCCTCAGGCCATACTGGCCCTCTGAGCCCTGGACACCCCAACATCAGCCCACCTCAGACTTGTACCTGGCCTCCACCAGCCACAGCCAGCAGGGGAACACACCACTGACTGCAGATACTTTTGTCTTTCCACTACAAGCAGAGTTCTGCTGAGCTTCCAGTGCCAAAACACCTTCTTGGTGGTCAGCGTGTTTAGTTCTTCGTGGTCACAAAGCCCTGCTAGCTAGGGTGTAAAGATCATCCTTCCTTTGGGAAGATTCCAAGTTCACATTTTTCCTAAACAGCTTTACATCCAGCTTGGCATAGGGGTGTGCTCTGACATCATCATCGTAAAACACAGAGACTGTATTTCTAAAAACCTTTCCCTGGGCTAATCCTAGCAGCAGCAGTTAAGCTGAGGTTAAGAAGTTATGTGTGTTTTGGGGTTGTAATGACAAAAGTTTTATAAAAGCTGCTGAAAGTGTTCGCCATGTTTCCCTCCCCAGTCCCACTCCAGAAACACGCTTTGGCTACCCCCACCCCACTTTTCAAACCCTACATAGCCTGCATCCAAACCCACCCTGTCTCCCCTCTTTTTATTTGATTATAAAAAAGGTCTCTCCATTAAGAGCAAGAATCTGATGGCTGTAGATGATGAAACCTTCCTCTTGCAGTCTATTTACTGATAAAGAAGTGCTCATACAATCATCCCTAGCCAGGAAATGTTAGACTAAACAGCAAATAGCATAGATCTAAATGAGGGAAAAAAAAAAAAAAAAGCAAATACAATATCAACAGAAGATTACAAGGTTACACAGACTCTTCACTATTTCCCTCACTGCTACAATCAAAAAGCTTAGGGCTTACAAAGACAAAAAAACATTCAGTGCAGAATCACTTATCTGTATGTATTGTATTTAAAAGCACACACACAGAACTGAGGATTTATAGTAAATGCAATGTAAGTCACAAGGTGCAAGTCAGGTGGCGCTAACAACAGAAGTTTCACAAGAGCATCAATGCAGACAGATGTGATTGGGAAGGACACGATGCTTCAGAGATCAGGAATTCCAGTTCATTTAAACAACTTAAGTCATACATTTTAGTCCAAGTAAGATAGAGAAATGCTAGTGTTTCAGTTATTGGGATTTTTGTGGGTTTTTTGTTTTGTTTTGTTTTTTTTAGAAGGGAAATTTCATTTTCTGATTAAGTTCTTGTGGTTAAAGAACTATACAAGTTCTAATTTGGTTAAAGACTATACAAGTTGAAAGCACAGACATCTTTCTCAGTATTACAATATTCCCTGGAGTCCTCACTGAACTTCAGACTTTCAAAGTGACTGCCAAACACAGAGACTGTTACAGCCTTCAACAGCTCAAACAGGCAAAGTAGGAGGAGAGGAGGTGGACACCCATGGAAGATGAGGCAACCTGTGCAAGTGGTTAGTCCCAGCCTGTAGCAGGAGGGATAATAGGATTCACACCCCACATTGCCATAAGGCCAGGATCATTTTCCTTGTCATTAGTTAGGTGCTTTATCACAATAGTTGCCACGCCTCCAGAGGGGCCCCAGGCACACAAACCTTTGTGGAGCACACTGCAGTGTGGTCAGAGCACAGCTCCTCCTCTTCCAGGCTGGTAAGGCTTGGGGCCTTCTGGCATTCCTCTGGTGTTTCTTCTTCCTCATTTCTTCTTCTCTTCTTTTCCTGAGTGCAGAAAATGAACAAGCCAGGAAGTGAACTGGTCAAACTGCTGATTATGCAACAACAGTGATTTTTCCTGTCTCCCAGGCTTCCTGCTTTTCACTAAACAAACATGAAAGTGCAGAAGCTTTGAGTTCATATTATCTAATTTGGAAACATTCAGGAAGGAGCTCATGTGTCATTTGGAAGGGAGGATAGAAATCACAAATTTTTCAGGTTCAAGGTTCCCAAATGGTATGAAAAGGGGTCCTTGTGTCAGTTAAAGATTTCTTACTTGACTGAGATAAGAAAACATGAATTTCTCGTTTAGAGGCCACAAGGAGAGAGAGAGAAGGTACCCTTAGAATGAAGGGCTGGAAAGAGTCACACACAGTTCAAATGCAAAAAAATCACACCACCCTCAGACAAAATCCTCAGTTAAAATCCATTTAGAACAAATGACATTTGAAGCTCAGCCACCCTCGTGGACTCACACACCACTCGAGTTCCAGCTTTGTCTCTCTCCTCAACCAGAAATTATCAGAGCAATGAAAGAAACCCTCAGCTGGGAGCAATGCAAGACTGGAGAACTATCAAGACAAAGTGCTACAAAGATGTGACAAAGGCTGGTGAGAGAAAAACAAGCAGTATAATTTAGATTTGAGTTCTCCCATAAAGCTATTCACTGTCCTCAAAACCACAGGAGAAGCAGCACTTTCCCCCCCAGTATTGCAGGGACATGGCAAAACCACCACAGACTCTGGGAGCAAACACACCACCCTCACAAGAGGGCAGAGGCTGCCTGCAGTGACCCCAAGAAGGCACATAGACAAGAGTAGCACAAGCCCCAGGTTATGCCATGAAAGCATGTCCAATCTCCTAATAGCTCAGCACCCAGCAGCATAAGCAGCCATGGTGAGCTAAGATCTGGGAGAGCAGCGCCCGGCACCAGCTCTCCCACCAGTCCTCTGCAAAGAAGGTCAGCTCCTCCTGATCCCACCTCTTTCTTGGCTTGCTTCACTTCCTCCTGCTCTTGGGCCTGTTCTTCCTCCTGACACAACCTTTCTTCCTCTCCAATAACCACATTCTCCTCCCGGATCTCCTCCGGGCTTTCCCGATCCAGCTGAATCTGCTCCAGTTTGCTTTCTGCTTCCATCACACCACCGTCCTCTTCTTCGTAAGACGGTCGTGGAGACCTAGAAGTGGGGGAGAGATCAAAGAAGAAAACCACATCATTATGGGCCTACAGACACCATCAGCTACCTCAGACCTCTAGAAAACCAGTTTTTTCAGTTCCCCAACTCTTCAGTTTGCCAGGTGTTCTACAGCAGGGCTCACAGCCCGATGTAACAGCAGTCATGTCACACTCCCACACTTCAAATGTCCAAGACTCAGCTCAGCTAAGAGCTGTGGCAGAGCTGAAGGCATCTGCACATCATGATGGGCAAGACCCACAGGAAAGCAGAGAGCTGCCCTCTGCTCAGACCACTGCCACCATGATGTGGTGTTGGCTCAGTTAGTTCCGTGCTTGGCTACAGCTAAAATCCCAGGTGAACCAGCATGCCCTGCAGTCCTGCACACAGACACAGCTCTGATACTGTCCCCGCAGTTCCCAGCATCAATTCAATGTGGGGCTCCAAACACAGCCCTTTCCTGCCTAAACTCATCTTCCATGTTAATAGAGTCTTTTGCTGGAGGAGGATCCAACCAACAACACTAGACATGCTTCTCAAGATTCCCTTTTCTCTAGCTGAAACTAAACTGCAGGGCAAGGCTGCACAGCCACTCTCCTAGAGGCTTAACATTTGCAAGGCACAGAATATCTACACTTGATCCCAAGCCTCAGTTTTGCCCACTGGACTAAATTACACCCCTACTCACATTCCTCATCTCATAGCCCAGCAAGACACAGGAGTTCCAAAGCAGATGGGGATACCCCTTGGTTTAAGGGTTCAGAAAAAAATCAGCGGGGTTTGTACAACAGAATTCCTCCAGGTCTCCGAGGCTGCAAGAGGGAGACCTAGGAGAATGTTTACGCAATCACTGTGCAAAAGCAGAGCAGCCCGTGCCTTTGGGCACAGGGGCAGGGGGAATACAGAAACCCAGAACTCCCCCTGGCTCACAGCTGTGCCATCTAGCTGTCCTCTGGCTAGGGAAAGTTTTCTCCTCCCACTCGTTTCTTGGAAAATCACCTGGCTTGTGAGAGCAAGGCTAGAGAGCTGACAAGCAGGCAGCTGCCAAAGGGCAAGGCTGACTCACCACTTCTGCCCCACCATCCAGTACCAAAACACCAAAATAAGTTCAAGTAAGACCTTTCCACCCACCTCCTTGCTGCTGGGAAGGCAGCTCACAGGTCAGCCCCCATCCAACCCTCCACACTGACCACATGGGGAAAAAGATGATACATATTCTGGCTCGCTTGGCTGTTGGTGGGAGGATAACAAGTCACAAGTCAACAGGCTCTGAAGGCCCAGGAAACTAGCAGCTCTTCACCAGGATAGCAGCAATGCCTCCAGCTCAAATGCAAGCTCATATGAAAAATTAGGGCCAGCAGATGCAATACAGTCTATAGGATGCCTTTTGGACCACAGCAATTTTATATAGGGGGCAGCTGGCTAGCACAGCTACACCTTCTTTCATGCAGCTGATAACAATGGATCTCCCACCACAAAGCAGTGAACCAGAACCAAAGAGAAAACGTGCCTTAGCACCAAGGCCCTCAGGGCATGCAGGAGCTGTTTTAGCTCCATTCAAGAGAGAGCAGCTGTCTCCATCCACTCATTCACAGCCACTACTTAAACAACCTTCCCATGAAAACTCAGAGTTTGTTGCACCTTCAGTTAAGCAGGAGAGAGGGGAGCTGGGAAACCCTGACCGTAGCAGTGGTTGTCCCAGCATGGGGCATCACAGACAGACAGCATACCTGCGCTTGCACCACACTCCAGGCTTGTCCTTTGGATGAGGCAGGTCAGCAAGGGCAAAGCTACTGCAAGAACTTTATAGGGCACGGCCACTTGCTAGAAAGCAAGCCCAGCCTTTGCAAAAAGCCCAATCCCAGCAGGCCCACAGGATCTGAGCCCTTTAGCTACCTCCAAGCAGCTAGCCTTTAGCCAAGTGCCCATTCAGCTACAACCCCTGCTTTTAAAGGACCACCTCCTGCTGATGGGCTTCACCTGCCATGAATACCATCCCCCCTGCTCAGCACCTTCCCATCCTGCTACAGAATAAACACAAACATCACATAAAAACCCAAGGAGAAGTTTCTGGAGAGGATAATGCTAATTCCAGCTAATGCTCTTTAGAAGGTTGAGGGAATAGCAGTAGCCTTTTTTGCAGGCAAACTCTTTGCAAGGGGGGCTGGAAAAAGAGACAGCATACTGAAAAGCAGATGATTCCTAATTGCTCCCACAGATGTTATAATCAATGCTGTTCCTTGGAGCCAAGGTGCTTGAGCAGTGCTTGAGGGGTCAGGGCTGCAAAGGTACAGCTTGCAGAGGGGTTTAGCCATGACATTTGGGAAAAAAAGTAACAAAGCTGCGAGCTCTATTTATTTGTTCAGCAGTAAATATTAATCTTAAGCATTTTTTCAGTCATGGAATCATTGAATAGTTTGGGTTGGAAGGGACCTTTTAAGGTCATCTAGTCCAAATCCTCTGCAGTAAGCAGGGACATCTTCAGTTAGATCAGGTTGCTCAGAGCCCTATCCAACCCGGATTTGAATGTTTCCAGGTTGAGACATCCACCACCTCTCTGGGCAAAGAATGCTTTGGGGTAATGAAGAGGCTATGTCAAAAATTCCCTACAAAATCAGGCTGCCAAGAGAGCTGAGTCACAGAGTTAATGAGCAGGTAGATGGTATCCAAGGGAAGTGGTTAAGGCAGGAGTTTGGTTCCATTCAGCAAGAAGGGAGCGATGGGAGATGGGAACTAAACAGCTGGCACATAGGCACCCCTCAAGGCTCTTCTTGTTTTTCCCTGCTCAAAGAGGAGTCAAGCATGAGGCAGGCTGGGGCCATAACACCCACTATGCTGACATGAGCCAGGAAGCAGCAATAACTTAGAACAGCTTTTTAGGCTGGCCTGGATTATGTTAGAGGTCGTTTCAGCCCCTGCAGCAGCTCAGGTGGCTTAAATCCGCTGTTGTCACTCCTCCAAACCCAGGCATCCTGGCAGGCTGCCATTGCTTGGAGTGCAAAGCTCAATCCAAACATCCCCAAAGCCTGAGGCCATCCCTGGGCCATTCCCCCCAGCTAGCCCAAATGGCAGGCAGAGTGCATCTGTTCCAGCGGTGCGGGGCCTGTTCTGTCCTGCTGATTCTCAAGCCTCTGGCCTCATCCTTACACATGCTAGACTTGACTCGGGTTTGGTCTCCCCTCCTCAGGGACACTTCTTTTGCTGGGCTCAGTGGTACCCCTCCCCCTGGTTCATCTGTGTCCTACCCACCTCTGTTTGCGCTGCTCAAGCTTCTGGGACCAGTCACTGAACCCCTCATCTTCCTCCAGCTCCGAAGTCCCAGATGGCTTAAAGTCATAGCTGAAACACAGTAAGAAGGAAAGTTAGGATGAGACGAATGCAAAAAGACCTTCACCTGGGCTGAAAGAGCCACAGCCTGACACTGTCCTTCTCTCCTTCCAGTTATTCCATCTTTTTTTCCTCTGGCTGCTCCTAAATACCATTTGAAGCCTTATCCTCTGTTACAGGAAAATGCCTTTGCCACGTGCTTAGGAGCACCCTTGTACAACAGGGGTCTCTTGAGGTATTAGTGTATGATGGAGAGGAAGAAGCAGCAGTTCCATATCTCCAGCAGGAGCACCCCACTGCCTGCTTGTCTTTGGGGTCACATGCAGGCAAAGACAAGCAGCACGTCAAAAAGTCCATGGTTTTCATCTGCACTGAAGAACGGCCCTAGCCAGAGGTGTTTCAAACTCGGCTGCTGCTTGTCCTATGCTTGTAGGGAGCCCCACAGAAAAGACATCAACAGGAGCTGGCCTGAACAGCTTGCTGGAACAGGAAAGCATGAAGATCCCAAGATTAGGACACTGGATCCTCATGTTCCCATACAGCTTTAAGCCAGTCACATGCACTTGCATGACTCCAGCTCCCCGCCTGTGCATACCCTGCTGCTGTGCGGAGCCACAGCCCTCCCAGGGCGCACAGCTGCTGGCACCACATGTGGGCTGGCCTTCCACAGAGACTGTTGGGTTTTTCCTACTTCTTTCCTTGTGTTTCCAAGAAGACTCGCCTCCCAGTGAGGGGTCCTGGGTGGGAAAGCATCACGTTGCAAGCATCAGCCTGAGGAGGTGGCTTTTGGGACTCAGGGTGATCACATTGCTTGGGAATGGGAATTAGGATGTGCAACTCAGAGATTAGTTTAGAACCCAGAGGTCCAAAATATGTAGTAAATGTGGGTGAGTCTTTTTTATTGCCTTTCTGAGCTCTTAGGAGATGCCAGGAGATGCACAGCCTCCTCGTGACCCCGGTGGCTTGAAATATGAAGTAATTCTGTGAGATCTGGGAGTCTTATATTAACTGACTGCCGGAGCCAAAAAGTAAAAGGATTCACAAAAACTATGTGCTCTCGCCAGGCTCACCAGCGAGAGAAGCAGGGAGTGCACAACGAAAAGTGCTGCTCAAGGCATAAGATTGAGCACAGCCCAGCTCCTGCCATGCCTCAGCATCCCCTTGGACTGCCAAGCAGTGATGCCACATAGGTCTAGGACACCGCAGCCTGGGCTGGGTTATTTTCTGCTCTGTGTGTAGTGGTAGTTTGTGGATGCCCCAGGATAACACCCAGAAAATTTGACGTGGAATCAGGACAGGACTACAACTCTGCTGAGTCACTGGTCAGGGCTTCAGGTAAGGTGGAGTGTTGATGGTGTCCAAGGCAGAATCTTTCCAATATTTGTGGCCCTGGTCACAAATGTGTGTTTGAGCTATCAGAAAAACTCCCAGGGAGCAAGGGACACTGCCTAATGCTGTTAGAAATCTAGCTGCTTCCCTGTGCCCCTCTGCAAAAACAACCCCAGGAGAAGCATCAAGCCAGCACAACCCATCTGTCCATCCCTCTGGCTCCCAAGGACATGACTGTCTTTCCTGCAAACCTGCTGTTTTGCAGGCTACTTCTGGTTTTCTTTACTGGGGAGAAAGAAGAACAAAAGGTTCACTCCGTCCCTTAGGTGCAAGGAGATGCCAAGGGTGTGTTTGAACTAACAGGAGTAACAGGGTAAGTCCCAGCATGGGAAGAGCCAAGGGGAGGAGGGGCCAGCATTTACACAAGAGAGAACGAAGCTTTTCAGAAGATTAATAGCCAGGGCTGACCCTGGCCACATGAGCAAGCCCAGGTGGCTGTCAGCAGCCATAAACAAGAGCAGGGAATGGCCAGAGAAGAAGAAAGATCCTTTTGGTTGAGCCTGGCCCAGCAAGCTTAAGCATCATGGAGCAGGGACCAAAACCTTTTGTTTTATGAGTTCTTCTTGTCATTGCGTGCTTAAGCACTCAATTAAATTTGGGTAACACCAACAGTCCTGTGGGATCTGCAGCATATCTGTGCCCATGCCAATGGGACCAGAGCCTGCAAGCTGGGTTACTGGGGCTGCTGCACACTGCTCTGGGCCTGAGGCTGCTCACAGCACCTCCCAGCAAAGCAGAGACCAGAGATCCTGTCTGCTGTTTTAAAGACCTTTACAAATTATTTTCCAGCTCCCATTTGAAGGAGGGTTTGGAAAAGCCGGTGATTATTATTACTTTCCAGATCTTCTGTTTGCTTTTAGAGCAGACTGAAGTGGTTTTGTCTGCAGAATATCACCGTGTGTATTTCCACAAAAGATTGTGAAGGTGCTCTGCAATGCTTTCAGATAAAAAGAAGAACAAAAAAAAAAAAAAAAGAAAAAAGAAGAGAAGTCCTGCATAATTTTGAATGGATCTAAGAAAAAAAAAAAAAAAAGATCTTTTAATGGAAAAAGATTTTTATAAATAACTTTTGCTATTTTTCCAAAAAATGAAAGTGTTTCTTCTGACTATAACCCCACATAACTTTTCCATTGTGTTCAATATATTTAGAAATAAGTCAAACAAATAAATAGTGGGAAGACCAAGGTCTTTGAGACAAGAGTTTGGCAACTCAGAGAGTAGACTTGTTTTTGTGCTAGTCCCAGTGCTGCCACGGCATCTGCGCTTCTGAACCATGGACATGGGGAGGCTGCAGTAGGATGCTGTGGAGGGATGCTGGGCATGTCATCCTGTCCCTTTTCCAGGTGTTTCCTCTTTGACAGTATATAGCTCAGCATGTCCATAAATGCCTCCTGAGCTACTTCCATTTACGAACTGCCCCATTAAGCTGTGAACTGCACCAGGTCGGGGGCTGCTTCATGCTCCCAGTGCCGAGGCAGCATCCTCCAAGGGAGGAATGGGGAGCCCAGCCAGGACAGGTGACTGCTTGCTTGGGCACCAGCACTGCAATCTGCTCGGGGTTGTGCACCACATCCTCAGGCACATGTCCATTTTTGCATGTATCAGGAACCCCCATTACTTTCAGTGTAAGATGATTCACCAGCTGAAATTTAACCAGGCACTGAAATCACTGGCAGTGAGGACTCCCTGCCAGAGCTCAGCCTTGGCCAAGCTGTTCCAGTGTAAACACTCAGGGCCGTAAAACACCCAGTCTCCAGCCGAAAAAACCAAGAGCAAAGCATAGCTTCTGTGTTTTTCTGCCCAAACAAGAAAACACACTATTTGCTAGTTTGGGCTAGATCCCCAACCTAAACCTGTTAGAGAACTTCCCCATCTCCCCAGCCCACCCCAAGCAAGAGAGACACATGCGCCGTGGATGCAGGAGGGTTTTGCTGCAAGGAGAAAGTGTGTTGCTGAAGGATTTATCTGCGGGTATTTCTTACTGGTTTTCCTGCGCTGGACCTGCACTCTCCGAGCAGGAGACGGTGCCATTCAAGCCCTCTTCTGCCTGGGATCTCAGCTGTTTCTCCCGCTCCCGCCGCCGCCGCTCTCTCGCTGCCTCCTCCTCATCTTCCACGCTCCACTGTGCTGTCAGCCTGCCAAGACAGAGGGAAAACTCATCCTCAATACCATCAGGCAGTGCCTGTGAAACCAGGTAATAATCCTCTGAGGTATCTGGCCCCCCCCAGCAAACAGGAGACTTCTGCAGAGGAGTGCTCCCATCGTGAGCGGTGCTCCTCAAAGTGGCATCCTCACCTCCATCAGCAGAGCTCCACACTGGGACTGATGGATGTGCAAGGATAAGGTGGGACACATGGACTGGGAGAGGGGTGCAGAAAAGCCTGCAAGCCTCTCTAAGGAACACATGGTGCATATCCCCTTCCTTCCAGACCAGCCACCTTCCTGTGGGCTGAAAGCCTGCTGCGAAGCACCATTCCCTGAAAAAAACAGCTTTGCAGCCCAGGAAGGGTTTGTAAAGGGTCTTGCAGTGCTGCAAGATATCTAACAACCTCATCTCAAGCTTTGGCCCAGGGCAGGAAAGATCTGCACACTGGGGGTGGGTTTCCTCAAGTAGTTGAACTGCTCCTGCCTGACCAGGACCAAGGGAACAGAGGTGAAGGGCAGCAGCTATGTCCTGCTCTGCCCTACCCAGCTTCCTTCTAACCCTGCAGAGAAGCAAAACCTGCCTTGGCTTCTCCCAGACATATCAGCTGCTGAATAATAATGCCTCTGTTAGCAGAATGGCCTCTTACATCCCCAAGGAAGCGATGCCACATTCCTCCTCTGGTGATAATGCCAGTCCAGTCGCTCGCCACACGGGATCAGCTCCTGCTCCACCACTGGCAGCACCGGCTGAGATGGAGGCAGAAAGGGACATGCTGCCATGGGATGGTCACCACTCACCCAAAGGGCCTGTGATGGCAGCTGGAGCTGGCCAGGTCTGACTCGTGGTATGTGGAGCTGATGCTGGGGCAGATGCTTCCTCACCCCACTCACCCTGGCTCAGCCGTGTCCGAAACAGACCATGAAGGCCGTTTCCCCTGGTGTTTGCAAACCTTATTACAGAGCTGCTCTTGAGGCAAGGCATACACACGGGAATCAGGAAGGCGATCTCCCACCAGCAGTGGGATCCAGCCCAACCTGAATTTCCCCTCCTCAGGCACACCCTGAGGACTGCAGTCCCCATACGATGAACCTGCCCGATAGGAGATACAGTGTGACATAGTTCAGATTGGGGTAAAGAGCTTGTGGAAAGGAAAAGGGAAAAAAAAACCAGAAATGCCTTAGCTGAGACTTGTTTCAGCCCAGTTTGAGAGAATAAGGAGCAGGTTTCAGCTGACCCCAGAAGTGCCACTCTGCCAGCCTGCCTGGTTTTGCCCAGGACTATGAACCATGTGAAAGGGCCTCACTTCACCCAGGGTCTCACTAAAATGCTGTTTCCATTTGAGGTTCAGGACAGATATCTCCCTCTTCCAGCAATGGGAGGACAAAAAGCCCATTAGGATTAATCGAAACATTTTGTTCAGGAAAAATTTGGCCTTTCTAATTACATTATGAACCTTGTTAGCCTTTCCAGGGAGACTTCCTCGGAGCCTATTTTACTCTGCAGTGGCAGCAGGACTGATGAGCTTAGCCCCAGTAGCATCCCTTTCCACAGTGTTCCCCCCACCGCCCAGTCAGGAAGCTGAGGATGACCCTAAATCACTGCCCTCTTGAACTCCCACCTGCCCCAAGGCAGCAGAGCCAAGATGTTGAGCCCAATGGAAAAAAGTTGCCCATCCCTGCTGCACCCGTGGGGGAACAGGGAACAAAGCAAATCCCAGGACTAGCCCAAGAGAATGCTCCTCTGCTGTGTATTTACTGCCTGCCTTATTTTGGGTGGGGTCTTCTTGCAAGCAGCAAATTCAGCTCTTTCCCCTTTTACCCTCTCCTCATCCCTTGTCACCTTGCTCTCCATGGGGAACAAAGTGGACCCAGACCAGAGCCTGGGCTCCCCTCCTCCCTTCCCTACTCATCCCACACTCCTATTTATTATTTTTCCTCAGGTTCCCATAGAAACCCTTGTCTGTGGGCCTGGCAGGAAGCCACCGTGTTGTTGGGTTTTTTTTGTTTTTTTTTTTAATATATAAATGAAGTCATTCATTAAACTCTGCCATGATCTCCCTCCCTTGTGCGACAGCTCCAGATAGTCTCCAATTCAGAAAGGCTGTTAACCCCCTCTTTCCCATATCGCCCCAGTTACAAGAGGCAAGGTCCATGTTTATGCCAGGATAAGTTAGATTTCAGTTAAAATCCTTCACCCCCTCCTCCAGCTCCTTGGGAAGCTGCTGCAGAGGTGGTGCCGCACCAACCCTCCCAGCTTGCCCAGGGTGCCCAGGGGAGCTTGGAGGGGGGTACCCTCTGAAGCATATGAGCTTTCCACACTGTGAGAGCAACGTTGGTTGGCAGCCCTCTCCCTCTCCCAGTTGGATGTGACTAACTCTCTCCCCATGACCTCACCGGCTTGCTATTCTGTCCCTGCATCCTTCAAACAGGCTGAGGACAGAGCTGGGGGCGACTGTTTTGGGGAGAAGAATTTTTCTGCAAAACCAGGGAAATAACTTTCCCAGCTCCCTTTGCTACAGAGCAACCCAGCTTCCAGGTTGCCCGCCGCTGTGCCGGGACGTGGCTCAGACACACTGAGCATCCTAGTGGGGCTGCAATGCTGGGAGCACCGTGCCTCTGCTCAGCAGCAAGGGCTGCAGATAAAGCCCCCACCAAGCCCCCGCTCACTCTGCCTTCAGGAATACCAGCACTCTCCAGCAAACACCCAAAACCAGTTTATTTGCAGATTCTGAGCTCTCTCTCATGCTCAAACAGGCTGGTAGCGGAGTGAAGTTTAGTAAGTGATGCTTTGGGGGTTCAGTAATCACACTGACAAGCAGAGGAAAAAGGATGATTACTTTGTGACTGACCAAGCAGCACAAATATTTGTCTTTAGTGGAAAACAAACAAAACAAAACAAAACAAAAAACACAAGCAAATGAGAAGCTAAGCCTTGCATTTGTTTTTGTGTTTGGGTCAGCTACAGGGGTTTGTTGGACCCCAGACAAGATGTGCCATTCCAATTTGGACAAGCACAAGTGTGAGCAGGGGGTCAGCTGTTAAATTGCCTTTCGAAGCAAAAAGGTGGAAAGATTTAATTTCCAAACAGTTCCATTTTCTAAGAAGGGGCCACGGTCTTCCGTTTGCTCTAATTGCACATCACAATCGCATTCAGTAACTCAACATGCTCAGCCCACAGTGATATTTCACAACTGTCTTTCCCACTTCTAGAAATAATTACCCAGTGTTTCAGGATGAGGCTGATCCCACGTATCTCTGCCTTCACCTTCAGCCAGCACTTTCCCAGGTTGGTCTCAGGCTGCGGAGGTTTGGGGAAGAAGCAGACTCATAGCTGCCAGTGGGACTGAGAGCTCTCAACTTCATTTCACCCATCACAGGATAGGGAAACGGAAAGCAAGACAACTTAAAAGCTTGAAGACTTGCAAGATGAGCTGGAGTGTGCTACACTCCGTCATCCAGCCACTTGCCTTTATGAAATCCCTATATAGAGGGATTTTCATGCAATGTGAAAGGAAATTCACCCCCTCACGCAAACTTTAGGGGGACTGGAGAAGGGATGAGGAAGGGTAGAGAGACCTCTTTTTGGCCCCAGCAGACAGGAGCTGCAGCAAGACTTGCTCTGGCAAGACCTCATCACAGGGCTGGGTCATTTCTCTTACACAGTCCCTTCAACTCTGCCAACAGCTTTTGGAAGGTTGTGGTTGAGCCAAACACACTTTGCAGAAGGGACTTAACTCTTCCTGAGCAGGTGAGGAGATCCAGCAGGTCTAGAGATGAGCTGAAAGCACCCTGGTTCAGTTTTGGCCACAGAGTCACTGCTTGCCAGGCGTTTGGGATGCTTAGGCTTCTGCTGACTGGGGACAGCTGCCCAGTTCAGATCCAGCTCTTGACTTCACATCCCCCTGGACCCCCAGCCAAAGGAAGGGCTTTATTTCTGTTTACACTACAAAACACCTCTTTTTGCAGAACAGCAAGGCACCCAAGCCCTGGCTTCACTGTTACATATGGCCAGCTCCAGACAAGCCAGCATTGCTGGAAAGGTTGCATTTCCTTTGGGCGATTCCTCACCAGCACTTGAGGAGATTATAATATTCAGGCAAGGGAAATTTCTGGCATCAGATGAGCTATGTTTAAGGGAAACTCTGCAGACTCAAGGAGTCTTTTGCATGGTTGACAGCTCAAAGGAAGCTTTGCTGGCCCAAACCCAACCTTCAGCACTAAAGCTAATTCCAGAAAGGAAAATCAAATGCCTCCCAGGGGCTTTGGGCTTTGCAGACCTGTGCCAGAAAAACTCAGGAACCCTCTACCAGCACACTGGACATTCCTGTCTCCTGAGCTCGCTGGGTTATCAGGCCAGGAAAGTGTTGACTTTGCTCGCTGCCTCTGTTGGGTAGACTGCCCCCACAGAGCCAAGGTTCACGAGGGAAAAGGTCTCGGGAACAGGTTTTAGGAGGAGCCACCTGCAGCCCTGACATGACAGCTGCCATTTCCCAGAAGATACATTGCTCCATCCCCTGTGAATAAAACAGTGTCCATCACCACTGAAAGAGTCACCTGCAAGTGATAGGGCTGCATGAATTAGAGAAGAACTGGGGAGAACAGCCCTACTTCCCCCAGCAGCCATCCCGTTGGCTGCCCTGTTGAGAGTAGGGGAAAGAAAGATGCCAGAAACTGATGCATGGGACCTTCTCCTTCCATGTAATTCACTGCAGCCTGCGTTGCCTTGTCACAGTGCCAGATACAATATCAGTGCAGAATACGGCCTAGGACTGTCAACAAGTTCATCCTGCTGCCGAGCAGAGCTGCCAGGCTTTATTTAATATTGCATTTATCACACATTCCTAAAGGGCCCTGACAACTGGCAGGGGTACGGAGACGTGCAACTCACCCTGTCACATGAAATGGAAGAGGACACCCTCAGAAGGCTACAAATGAACACCTTCCTCACCCACTTGACCTTCTGCCAACAAATTAATCACTTATTAATCTC